AATCTCTTATGTTACCTCGACCACGTCACGGAGAGGGTCGACGAAGGTAGAACAGTAGAGGTATGTTACCTAGAGTTCAGTAAGGCTTTCGATTCCGTAAGTCATAGATTGCTTCTACACAAGCTAAGATTTTTGTGAATCACAGGGGCAGTATATAATTGGATAGCAGCATTCTTGACCAATAGGACATTTTGCGTCAGGGTAGGAGAGCATATGTCACCAGTCCATCACGTCATTAGTGGCGTGCCGTAAGGGTCGTTGTTAGGCACCCTTCTTTTTCTGCTGTTTAAAATGATCTAGCAGAAATTACCAGCTCACCTTGCTTCATCTTCGCTGATGATGTAAAGGTGATTGGATCAACTGGAAGATCGCAACTGGAAGAGGATATTGCGAAGGTGGTCCAGTGGTCCCACACATGGGATCTGCCACTAAATGCAGCAAAGAGCCGGTTGCTCTCAAGAACCCAGGAACCATTGAAGGCTCTAGGTAACTGGGGGCAATTTGAAGTAGGCACTGTAACCAGAGCCAGGGATCCAGGAGTCATAATAACTGCAGATTACAGTTGGGGTACCTAATGTGAAGCTGCAGCACACACGGCAAGACAACAATTGTTTCGACTAAGATCAACAGTTTCGTGTAGAAAAGCAGATGTATTTATACCCATCTACAAAGCCATCGTAAGGCCTCACCTAGAATACTGTGTGCAAGCTTGGTCGCCCTTCTACAAAAAGGACGCCGCCTGTCTGGAGCGGGTTTAGAGACTGGCAACACGGATGGTTGAGGGTATGCGGGGAAAAACATACAAATAGAGGTTGTACACGCTCGGTTTTTTCACCAGAAAAAAAGGAGATTGCGCGGAGACCTCATCGAAGTATTCAAGATAAGGAAAAATTTGCTCGGTCTAGATCCTGGGTTCTTCTTCATTGAGGCCCCTCACCAAGGAACGGGTGGACATGAGCTCAAACTCATGAAACAGCGTTCTAGGCTGAACTTACGAGTACAATTCTTTAGTAATAGGGTAGTGGATAATTGGAATAAGCTACCGTCGAAACCGCTTATGCAGTCAAGTGTCCAGGCCTTTAAAAAAACTCTGGACGCCAGATGGTTGGAGCTTCTGCCTGACATAGAATGTTAGATGCGTAAATTGCTTTTGCGTAATGTGGAATGCTTCAACAACAAAGGTCTCTCGCCGACACTGCGAGAAGTAAAGTCTCTCTTTCTCTCTGTTTGCAGATAGAAGGAGAAACCGATCAATCGCAGGTGTGGACGCACACTCGAGGGCATACCACTGAAGGAATTCTGGACGAGTGATTGGCCTGTGGCCACTATCAGTCCTGTTCGACCTGACCTGACCTGAACTGAACTGAACGGCACCATATCGGAGCCAGCTCCCATTCCCGTCAACATCCCTTTCAGATTGTGCACCAAACTGCCGAAAAGAAGACAAATCCGGAACCGGGAATATTGGGCGCAAGCCTCGAACCCGAGTACTACTTCAAAACCAATCCTAAAGAGATCGGGGAGAAGAGGGGAAACCCCAAGCCCAAAAAAGACAGCCGCAAAGTAAATCGGCAACCCACAGGTTTTCAGATGGGTGCTCCGCCTGATGGTTTCAAGGCAGCCATCTCTCGATTCGAGAAACAAGAAGTTAGAATTGAGAACTTGGCTCGCCACACACAAAGGCAACTCAAAGAGATCCAGAAGCCCCACGCGTCCTACGAGACCACCTTAGGTAGGACGCGCAACGTGATAATTCACGCTCCAGAGCCAGTTATCTCCAACACCGCTCAACGGATCGCTGCGGAGAAAACACTCATTCTGAGTGTGCTGCGCAACGCCGGTTGTCACCTCAAAATGACTTGGAAACGAGCACACAGGCTGGGAAAATGGGTCACACCAAAACAGGATGGCCTCCCTACCAGTCGACCTCTGCTAGTGGAACTCCGCAGTGCAAAAGAACGAGACTTTCTCATATCGAAGGCGCCAGTTATCGCTAGCACAATGACCAACATCAAAATCGGGGCAGACAACCGCACCCGTAAAGCGGTCATCTCGGGTCCTCACT